CTGTTTGGGCATGTTTATATACCAAAATTGCCTTTATCTACTCGTAAAATGAATAATTTTGTTTTGAAACAAACAGTTGTTGATTTACAGTATGCGGGGCCAAAAGATTTATAAAGATTTGAAATGCCACAAATTGATTCAGTGTCAAAATTAATACAAATGTCAGTTCCCAGTTTAAATAAGTTTCAAGGTGACAATGTGTCAACGCTGCGAAATCGGTTTAGTGCGTTTACATGTCGATAAGTGATTGGAGCGTTTGCAAAACATTTTATTTCGCATAATGCGTCTAAATTTATCAGAAAGCAACTTATGTAATATTTTAATAACAATGTTTATATGACTATTAACCATAATAAGAGAGTAATGACCATTTTACAATTTATATATCACATTAATATGAAACTGCAATAGAGCAATTGTTTGTGATAGAAACCTAGGCATTAGGTCGGGGAATTTTTATCGTGATGACGTGCACGCCACTTTGTTTGGCGTTGACTATACATACGTATTTGACAATCTTCGCTAATGTAGATCACGCAGGTTTGAATAGGTTACAACTTGGACCGGAGCGGAACGGCCTAGCGTGCGTTCATTGTTTACTATTTATTCATTGTGTATTAAGTATAGTACCTAGTAATGTCATCACAAACTCAGAAGCCAAAGCACAAAACATTGACAATTAAAGAAAAATGTGATATTTTAGACCGCTTAAATCGCAATGAAACTTTCAGTAGTTTAGCAAGTGAATACGGCGTAGGTCGATCTACAATTTATGACATTGAAAGAAAGCATGAGAAGATCAAGAAGTTCGTGTCAACTGCTGACTGCGGGCCAGGCAAGAGACAGACACTCAAGAAAGCTGAACATCCAGAAGTGGAAGAAACTATGTACATGTGGTTTCTTCAGGAAAGAAATAGGCATGCACCACTTTCAGGACCCATGTTGACCATGAAAGCTAAGTTTTTTTATAATGAAATAACAAAAAAAGAAGATATTGTGGCCAGCAAAGAACGGCTAGAACGTTTTAAAAGTCGTCATGGCATACGTTTAATGACTATTACAGGAGAGAAACTTTCTAACGATGCCACCTGCATAATGCCCTTTAAATTAAGATTTTAGCAAAAGGTGAACGATTTAAATCTTGACCCGTCACAGGTGTACAATACAGACGAATCAGGGCTTTTGTGGCGTGTGATGCCTAACAAAACTTTCGTTTCTTGTAACGAAAAATCCGTACCTGGACGAAAAGTAAGTAAAGAGCGTGTAACCGTACTACCATGTGCTAACGCTGCGGGCACACACGCGCTTAAGATGATGGTCATTGGGAAATCTAATAATCCACGAGCATTCAAAAACATTGATTTACCTGTACACTATTACGGACAAAAAAGTGCATGGATGACAAAAGACCTTTTCAAAAAGTGATTTGATGAATGCTTCGTACCTGAAGTTAGAAAATGGTTAACAGATCAAAATGTTCCTCAAAATGCGTTGTTGCTTCTTGATAACGCTCCCGGTCATCCGTCTGAAGAAGAACTAACAACTGAGGATACATGCATCACTGGAATGTTTCTTCCGCCAAATTGCACTGCACCGATTCAACCAATGGGCCAGAATATCATTCAGTTTGAAAAGCAAGACTATAAGAAAAACCTACTTCTGAGAGCCGTATCAAAAGACCAACCAATAGAAGAAGCTTTAAAAGAATTTAATATGAAAGACTTGGTTTTGGCTCTTTGTCAGTCGTGGAATGCGTTACCGTCATCAACTATTAAATTGCCTTGGAAAAAGTTATGGCCAGATATAGTCACCACTCCTAGCAACGTTCCACAAATCAGTGTAACTTCGGAAGTTATAGAACAAGTCGCTACTGAAACACAGATAAGTCTGGAAGATTTGGAAATCTGGTGCCGTGGAATGGATAAAGAGAAAAATGTTTTTCATGAAATGTCTGATGAAGAGATTATAAAAGAGGTTTCTAATTATACAACAAACAATCAGGAAAATAACGACGACGTGATTGCAACTGCTCCACAAGACGCAATTAACGCCTTTGAGCTAGGTTTACAATGGGCTGAAGAGAATGGTATATCCTACAACGAACATTTACTTTTGAGAAGACTGAGGGACAAAGCTCTGATCTCGCGTTATAACAACCTTAAACAAACAAAAAATTGATGCATATTTCCAAGCTTCATAATTTGATAAATTCATTAATGATTTTGATTAATAATTCTTGATTATTTTGGTACATATGTATGTGCATTTATGCTTAATTTTATAATAAAACGTAAGCCCTCTATTGTTATTTAATTTACTAAATTCGACATACATAAATTAAAGTCAACGCCAAACAAAGTGGCGTGCACGTCATCACGATAAAAATTCCCCGACCTAATGCCTAGGTTTCTATCACAAACAATTGCTCTATTGCAGTTTCATATTAATGTGATATATAAATTGTAAAATGGTCATTACTCTCTTATTATGGTTAATAGTCATATAAACATTGTTATTAAAATATCACATAAGTTGCTTTCTGATAAATTTAGACGCATTATGCGAAATAAAATGTTTTGCAAACGCTCCAATCACTTATCGACATGTAAACGCACTAAACCGATTTCGCAGCGTTGACACATTGTCACCTTGAAACTTATTTAAACTGGGAACTGACATTTGTATTAATTTTGACACTGAATCAATTTGTGGCATTTCAAATCTTTATAAATCCTTTGGCCCCGCATACTGTAAATCAACAACTGTTTGTTTCAAAACAAAATTATTCATTTTACGAGTAGATAAAGGCAATTTTGGTATATAAAGATGCCCAAACAGTTAGATAGTCGGTGTAAGGAACTCGTGGCCTCGTTAATGCACTACTTTCAGCAAGAAAGGGACAACAACGGGCCTTTGTTGCCTTTAAATTCTGTTCAAGAGGTAGGTTACTAATAATTATATGTAATGTAGATATATTAATAATAGTGAAATTTTATTTCATTTTTTGTAGCGTGTTGCTGCTGCTTTAAAAATTAGTTTAAGGACAGTTAGGCGTATTTCCGAGGGTGTGAAAAGTGATGCAAATTTAGAATCGCCCAAGAAAAAGCGGAGTTATATTAAACGTGTAACCAACACAGCGACATTGGATACAAGTGCCATTCGAGAAGTGATCTATAATATGTATCACAAAAGTAAGATCTTATTATAATAACTTATCAGAAATTTGCATTAATTTGTTAACTAAATTATAATGTCATATTACACATGGTTTCAGAAGAACAAGTTACGATACAAACTTTATGGTCTCGATTAAGAGATAGGGCATTATTTGATGGTAGTGCCACGTCTTTAAGGCGGTTGCTTAGAGATCTTGGATTTAAGTGGCTTAAGGACAATCCGCGACGAGGGCTCATGGAACTACCAAGTATAGCTTTGAAAAGGGTGGAATTTCTAAGGCAATACAATCAAGCCAAGGTTGAGGCCTTATACCAGTTTGTCTTCCTCGATGAAACTTGGATATTTCAAAATGGGACCATAGGTCGCTCTTGGCAAAATGGAAACCAAAAAAGCGTGAAAGCTATTAAAACAGATGGTAAAAGGTATGTACTTTTACACAATTTGCACTATAAAATTTAAAACTAATATATTTTAGATACATTATATTACATGCTGGAAATGAAAATGGGTTTATTGAGGGTAGTGAAGCGATATTTTCTTCGAAAACAAAATTGAGCGATTACCATGGAGAGATGAACCAGGACAATTTTTTGAAATAGTTTCAACATCAGTTATTAGAAAAATTGGAGAGTCCATCTATGATTATACTGGATAACGCCCCTTATCACAGCATGATATTGAACAAAGTGCCCAACAATGCATGGACAAAAAAAAAATATCCAAGACTGGTTGACAAATCAAAACATACCATTTTTAAACACAATGTTTAAAACAGAGCTATTGAGTATTGTTGCTCGGTACATAATGCTTCTTAATTATATATATTTTGGTCGACAGTTTATATTTCTTTTGTTTATTCCTATTCTTAAAATAACTGCTTTTTTAGAAACAAACCACCTAAAATATACGTGATTGATGAATTGGCGGAACAACATGGGCACAAAGTTCTTCGTCTGCCTCCTTACCATTGTATATTTAACCCTATTGAGTTAATTTGGGGCATAGCAAAAGGTTACTATAACAGACATATTGGTAGAGATGGTAACAGTGAAAAAGACTGTTTGGATATGTGGAACGAGGCTCTACAAACGGTTACCCCAGACATGTGGAAAAATAGTGTTCGACATACTGAGCAAGAAATTTTTAAATGGTATGAAAGAGAACGAATTTTTGATCGACCAGACATCGAACCTTTAATAATCAACTTTGAGAGTGATGAAGATTCAGATTCAGACAGCGCTGAAGAAAGAAACTCCGACTAACTTTATTGTACAGAAAAAGCTTACACCAGTAGCTTACCTAATTTTAGAATGCATTTTTCTGTATGAATTCTGTAAAATAGATACCATGCATAAAATTTGGAGGACCCCATTTGGATTTTTATTCAGTACCTTTAAGCTATCAATTAAATATGGTAGTTTCATAGTGTCATCTGATCAATAATTGTCATACTTAATGATTATGCAAGTACAGATCTATAATTTTATTATACTATTATTTTTGTTCTCATTTGAGGTTAATATTGCTTATAAACCTAGATATGTAAATAATAAATTTTATTATTTTACAAAAAGTTTGGCAACAATGTAATTTTTTCAACACACCCACCTTGATGACGTGCACGCCACTTTGTTTGGCGTTGACTATATGTATGATTTGTACTTGAAAGTACATACATATTACATAACATATAATCTTACCATTAAAGTTAAACATCCCGACATCTATGATGACTGGCCTATAACGTAGCCTTTGACGTATCTGGTATCGTCCCGTATGCAACCAGTCATACAAGAAGCCGAATGTTTCCGATCCACCTGCCAGCATGACCGATTATTGACAACACGTCAAGCAGACATTTTCCATATCACGTATCACTTTGACATCTATAGCAAAATGTCAAAACGATGAAAAAAAGTGTTTTTCCATTGTTAGAATGCAAGTAAAGTGATTCCCAGACGTGAAGACATGACCTAGAAGTGGACATTTATCAAACGAGTTGGTTTTTGTGCGGTCCGAACTTTCTCCGTCAAAATGACGAAGGTGTGTCGTCTCTGCCTGTCGAAATTGCAACGGGGCTCCAAGTATTTCAACATCAACGCCGTCGAGTCTTTCACGGGATTCATGCCATACAGAGATCAACTCACAACATGTATCCCAGAAATGGTAGGTGCTTTTTAACGCAAGTTTCTGTTGAACCTTGCCGTGATTTCACCTGCCATTTTCATAGCAATGCCGAAGTAGGGCATTCATCATTTTGTCATTTTATCAATACTATACATCGTCAATCCTAAGTAGATATTACGGCGACAATTATAATGTGCGAACACATCTAAATACATCGATATTATGATTTGCAGAATGTAAACAAGGACAGGAAATTATTAAAAATGATCACAGAATAGTGATATAGTGGGTCAGTTATCAATTCAAATGGCAGTTGACCTGCTTGAACAAATACTTGTGTCTTGAAAAATTCCAAACTCAGAGAAACACTGAAAGCATTATTTATAATATCTTGACATTTTTGTTTGTTTATTGAAGATTTATTGCTACAAAGTCAATTTTTCTTTCATTTTTCTTCAATACATTTTCTGTACTTTTATATTCAGGTCTAATTAATTTCACCTTAAACATTTTTAAATTCGAACACAGTTTAATATCAGTATTCTATTTATTAAATTCAAATACTCCCTTTTGAAATACAGACCTGCTAGTTATACAACTATTACAACTTTGCAGATGAAAATCTATACTGCTTCTAGCTTCCTAGTTATGATGATGACTATTTAATTTTGTGAAGTTTTGTAAATGTGGTGGTAATAAATTATTTTTTAATATGAAAATGAGAACTATAACATATGAAATTTTTTGCATAAAACCACTGTAGTTCTTCTAACATAGACTTAATCTTATATAGGTATATATCAATCAATGTATGGTCTTCAAATATTTGAATTTTGCAGTGTTCTAAAATGTCAGACATATCATTTATATGAATAATATATAGTAACAGCCCTAATTCACTCCCCTATGGCACCCCTACTGATATATTTTGAATGCTTAACATAATATTTCCAGTTTAAGTTTTTTGACTTCATTTAACGAAAAAAAAATTGTAAAATGTTTAATACTGATCCTTTAAAACCGTAGTGATGCATTTTCATTACAAATTTTTCCCTATCTATAGTGTCAAATGCCCTTTTGAAGTCTAAAAATACATTCTTTCTCATCTATACTTCTTCTCCAGTCTTCCACCTCCATTTGGATTGTTGTTTCTGTAGAATATTTTTTTCAAAACACAGCTTGATTTTTTATAAAAAAATTTTTGCTAATTCAGGGGAATAACAAACAAGATACATGCATACTGCCAAAAAAAAAACACATACAATGCACAACTATTTTATGCAAATATGTTTTTTTCTAATCAGAATAGGAAAAATCATATGAATGTACTTATTGGAATAAAAGAATTAGTGCAATTATTCTGCATTATAACTAACATAAAAAAAGCTTTAATGCTTTTAAACAACACCTTAATCAAAATAAGTCCAAAATATGTATTTAAAATAACATATAATATATAAGCACACAATACTTAGATATGATACATATAATTACATATTGAATTTAAAAAAACCTGTTGATAATAGATTTAATATTTAAACAAATAATGGTGCATTATTTTTTTTCATTAGCAGTATTTTTACATCTGCTGGTTCATAAACATATACTAAGTGACATATAAATCCGAACACCCAGTTTAAATGGTTTTATTTTAATAAAAGTTGGTGAATGTATCTATCTTACTGGAAATAACAAGTGAAAAAATGTTCAGCCTTATCAGTTGGACATTCCGGTTTTTATACTGCTTTTTTTTAATTCAATAACGCTCTAAAAATGAATATTTCAGCCGCCGTAAAGAATCAACGTTGGCGGATTTTGGTTCTTGACATCCTTTACGATCGGTTACGATGCCTAGAGTACGGAGACCTGTACGTTTTCGTCAACTTAGTGAGTTTGATAGGGGCCGTATAGTGGGACTTCGGAAGCTGGACTTTCTTTTTGAGCAATTGCAGTTAGAGTGCAAAGAAGTGTAGACACTGTGGTTAGGTGTTGTCAGGCATGGCTTCGAGAAGGCCGTACGCAAAGAGCAAGGGGCACTGGACGCCGCCGTAGAACAACAGACCGTGAAGATCGCCGCCTAAGATTATTGGCCTTAAGGGACCGTTTCTCCACTACCAGGTCCATTGCAAATGAATGGTTTGCAGAACACGGAAGACCTATTAGCATGCGAAGTGTTTACCGACGAATGAGAAGTTTTGGCTTGTTTTCATACCGGCCACACTGGGTCCTCCCTTTAACTCGAGAACACCGACGTAATCGCCTTGAGTGGTGCAGACAACGGTCACTCTGGGATCAGTAATGGAACAGTATTGTCTTTAGTGACAAGTCTCGATTTTGTTTAGGCATGCACGATGGTCGTGCCAGGGTTAGAAGGCGACGTGGTGAAAGGAGGAATTCATAGTTTTTTGTTGAAAGACATGTTCATCACACTGTTGGAGTTATGGTTTGGGGAGCTATAGCTTATGGTTCCAGGTCACCTTTAATCTTCATCAGATTTAACATGAACGCGCAGCGTTATATCCACGAAGTTCTAGAACCCCATCTTTTACCCTATCTTGACACCCTGGCAGATCCAACTTTCCAACAAGATAATGCCCGACCACATGTTGCAAGAGTCACAATAGACTTTTTTCAACATAATGATGTCACATTGTTACCATGGCCACCAAGATCTCCCGACTTATCCCCAATTGAGCATGTGTGGGATATGATGGGTAGGAGATTGCTCAATTTGCAACGTCCTCCTCAGACTCTAGAAGCACTTCGAGAGGAGTTGGTGGTTGCCTGGAATGAGATACCACAGGAGGACATTGACCACCTGATCAGAAGCATGCCTAGGCGCGTTGGAGAATGCGTAGCACATCAGGGTGCATCCACAAGCCCTTTGACCTTTAATGCAGTGCAATCATTTTGAAATTTTTATCATTTACTTATTATGCTTCATTCAGTACTTATACAAAATTTTATTAAAATAAAACCATTTAAACTGGGTGTTCGGATTTATATGTCACTTAGTATAATTCTTTGTAGGCATTGGATTTGATACCTAATCCAGTGATATGTAACACATGCCGGACTGCCTTGAAGACATCATATGAGTTCAAATCCAGATGTTTGTTGGTTGAGAAGAAAATAAGGGAATATGTTGAGAGTCAAGGCTGTGAAGACGAAGTGAGTATTCTTGATACCAATCAAAACAATGTTTTATAATTGGTTTTTTGATATGCCAGCTGACATTTGTACTGTTAAAGCAAAACATATTTCTGCTATCAATGTTTTCAATCAATCTCCAACAAAAGCAAATGAAAAAATTGCCAAACTAATGGTCAAATAAGAAATAAGACAAATGACATTCAAACAACGACCTGTATTAGTTTTTAGTTGCTGGAAGTGATGAAAAAAAATAGTTATACAATAAATTTTGTTCCACTTATAGAATGCAACCTGTGATCTTGCAAAAATTCCAATAGCTGACCTGCCACCTCTCCATAAGTTGAACTTTCTTCAGAAAGAGCTCGAATGTTTAGAAGAGCAACAGATCCAAGAACAAATGAAACAACAGCAGTTCCTCATGCAGCAGCATCAACAACTACAAAAGCAGAAACAGCAGCAGGTAACATAAATCGATGTTGTAGATATTTTCTCATAAACTGTTGAGTCTATTTTCCTCCCATCACTAACAAGTTAACTAAAAAATTAGGACATTTTGACATACGCAATGTGGTATGTCAGAATGTGCAGCTTCTGATGAAGAATCTTCAGGGTGTTTCTAAGGAGGATCCACCAATAGCAGGACTATTGGTTCTTAGCATCACATTGATTGTAGCCACCATATAGGTTAGGGCTTTTGGCAGAAGCAACTGTAATGTCTTGTTGATCATTTTTTATTTACTCCACACACCTCAAGGTCTTGATCAGCTGCTGTGCATTGTGGTACCTCAGAAGATTTGACTGAAGTGCCATGTGCACCAATAGCATTAGTAGTTAATCATGTCACACATTTAACAAATTCTTTCTTCATTGAGTTCATTAACCATCGAAGACTGGTCTTCATCCATATGCCTAAACTGGGTGTGCCATCTATTACTTTTTTTTCCCTATAAGTTTATGTGTTACCATGTGAGTCAGAAGTCATGTGGTATGCATATATGAACTGTCAAAGGTATGCCATTTATAGTCATGGATTCGTTTACAACACAACAACGGGTTATCCAAACTTATTACGAAAACGGTCGAAATAGAAAAAATAAAGGGTTGTCCAATAGGGACGCAGGAAAGTAAACGTAAATTTGACATAGACGCCATCTTTGTTTTCTGTCACCGACATTTTGTTAGTTGAATGTTTACCATTGATCGCTATGGAGTCGTATTCGATTGAAGACTGCATTAAAGTTATTCAAGAGCACTACAAAAATGGTGCAAAAATAAAAAACACGTTTCGCGCGCTTCGTGAACATTTCGGTCGCAACAACCGCCCAAACGAAACAACCATCGGTCGTCTGGTGCGTAAATTCGAGGCAACAGGTTCTGTGGCAAATCTGCCAGGCTCTGGCCGGCCAAGGAGCGTTCGCACACCGGAAAATATTGCTGTTGTGAAGGAGAGTGTGAGAGACGATCCGAAACAATCAACAACGCGTCGATCCCAAGAATTGGGCATTTCGAGAACCAGTTTGCTCCGCATTCTCCACAAGGATTTGAATGTACACGCCTACAAGATCCAATTGACGCAAGAGCTGCGTCGGGCCGACCATTTTTCGCGCCGAACGTTCTCAGATTGGCTCCTTGAACACCGCCAAATTGATGCCAATTTTTCATCAAAAATCATGTTCAGCGACGAAGCGCATTTCACTTTGAATGGGACGGTAAACAAGCAAAACTGCCGCATCTGGGCGAACGAAAATCCCCGTGAGTATCAAGAGCAGCCGATGCATCCTCAAAAAGTGACTGTGTGGTGTGCATTGTGGTCAAAAGGCATCATCAGACCTTACTTTTTCGAAAATGCGGCCGGGGACGCCGTTACCGTCAATTCTGAGCGATATCACGTGATCATAGAGGACTATTTTTTGCCGCAACTTGAAGGAATTGATATGGACGATGTTTATTTCCAACAAGACGGTGCAACATGCCACACAACCAGCGTCAATATCCATCGATTGCAGTCCTTCGGTGATTGCGTGATTTCGCGCAGAGGAAATGTGCCATCGCCACCAAGATCGTCCGATTTGGACTTCTTTTTATGAGGATATTTGAAAAGCAAACCGTCAACAAACCAGCCACCCTCCAAGAACTCAAAAACAACATCATTGCCGAGATAAACGCCATAGAACCGACCATGTTGCAAAATGAGTTCCATTTTTCTAGTGACTTGGTGACACTTGAAAATTCACTGTAGTGAGAACACTGCACTTATTGTTGTGAAACTTTGAATTTAAGTTTACTAAAGAGTGACGTTAAGATTCAGTACTGACGTTCGATCCGCGCGGCCTACTATGTTTCTATATGCGAAACTTAAAAGACATCCCTCGTAAACGAAGCCGCGGTGGTCACATGACTGATGTTATTTTTCATACATAAATGGCATAAACCAACCTTCATTTATCGATAAAAAAAATCGATTTCACCTCGTAGAAAGCGTGTTGATTTTTCAAATAGAAAAAAGGTAATAGATGACGCACCCTGTATAATGATTCCTTTATTTTGTACTATTTAAATGGTACATATCTCTAAAAACATACCTGTAAGTGTGTTTAGACATATTTTAATTTCCGGCAGCAGCAACCGCAGGCCTCCAAGAACAATTCTCAGTTGTTACTTCAACTTCAGAAAGAAGTGATCCTACCGAATTCCAGCGAAATCGAGATCTCGATGGGCTTGAACAACAAGGGAGGCAGGCGAAAAGCACCAGAGGTTAAGAATTCTAGTAAGAGTGAAAACGATGAACTATCTGAATGCACCAGGTAGTTTTCTATTTTTATTACACTTCAAGTTTTTTTTTCTTTTCAGATGACTTTATATTAATGTGAGGGAAAAAAATTGCGCATCATGTCTGTTCAACCTCAGTCTCTCTCACTACGCCCTTACGTTTTATGTCTCTGTCGGTTTTTACTTAAAAAATGACCCTCGTACTATAAAATATTAACAGCATGACAGTGTGGCTTGAGTTGTATCATACTAGTGTTAACATTATGTAAGTTAGCGTCTTTGGAATGTTGCCATGTCTACATATTGGAGTTGGTCTTGCAAGCAGATAATTGACCGTTTTGTGTCTTTCAGGTGTGACCAAGTGTTTCTGAATGCAGAACTGCTTGAACTACATAAGGAGACGCATAAACACGACGAGTTTGCATGCAACTTTTGCAAAGAGGCTTTTAAGACTTTACAGCAGTTAAGGAGACATAATAATATTTGTTCTAAAGGTAACCAGGAAATAATTAGCGTATTAACTATTCCAGGTAACAATAAATGTATATTCACAAAATCAAATGATTGGGAGGTATATAAAACTCTTAGGAATAAATGTGTGTATGTAATTAGAGAAGAAAAAAGGAAATTCTACGATAAACAAATCGATAATAACAAGTGCGACAGTGTAAAGATGTGGAAGACTTTAAAAAGACGGAAGTGGAAGCCGCATGATTGTGTAAATCAAGTTCAATTCGAAAACGGTACCGAAACAAATTCTTTGGTGATTGCAAACGAACTAAATGAATATTTTGTGGAAAGTATTGTTGATATTGTGGGTACTGCCAATGCTGCACCTGACTATATGAAAATCAGTTTCCAGGGGTAAATGTTGCATACACTTTCAAAATTACACAGCGTATCATTGAATTATCTGAGAAAAAAGTAAACAGTTTAAAATCAAATAACACCTGTGCCGAAATTACCACTAAACACGTGCTGAAAAACTGTTTCGAAATTTTTTGATATTCTGTATTAAATTGGATCAGTTGTTCACTGAGAAGCAGTTCTTTCCCTAAAAATTTGAAATGCTCTACAATAACACCAGTTCCCAAAATAAAAAATTCTCAAAGATGAGACCAGTAAATGTGTTACCAGACATTGAAAAATTGTTAGAGTCCATAGTGCATGACCAATTAATGCAGTTTATAGAAGAAAAGAAAATTTTAATGGAGGCGCAAGCAGGCTTTCGAAAAAAATATTCCACAGAAACGGCTTTCCAGTTGGTAACTGAGAATTGGAGAAGAGCCATAGTCTCAGAAGAAGTTGTCATAGCAGTATTTTTGGATTTGAAGAGGGCATTTGAAACGAATGATTGAGATATTTTGTTAGGTAAATTGAAGGCATATGGTATATCAGGAAGTGTTTTAGATTTGTTTTGAAATTATTTATCTAAAAGGATGCAAGTTACAAAAGTTAATGACACTATTTCATCAGAAATTGAAAATACGTTGGATGTTCCACAGGGCGGTATCCTGGGACCACTTCTTTTTATTTTATACATAAATGATTTACCTGCCATAGTCAAAAAATGCAAAATTCAGATTTTCGCCGATGACACTATGATTTATATAAGTACTAAAAATATTCAGACGAGTATCTCTTATACAAATGAAGACTTGAAACTTGTCTCAAAATGGTTAGCATCTAACAGACTAAAATTAAATACAAGTAAACCGAAAGCCTTGTTAATCGAAAAAAAAAAACAATGTTCAAATGTTCAACTGAATATTGATGGTGAAGATATTGAAATCGTAGAAAATTTTAAATACCTGGGGGTTTTTGTTGACTCGATTAATTTTCGATATTCATTATGAAATAGTTATAAATAAGATTAGTAGTAAAACGGGATATTTATCGAGAGTTTCTGGATGTCTGAGTTCATATAGCAGAAAAATTATCTATAATATCATCATTCTTCCAATTTTCTTGTACTGTTCGACAAATCTATATTTAGCAATTAATTCCAATTTTGGAAGACTGCAAATTTTACAAAATAAGTGCATGAGAATAATACTGGATTAAGATAAATGTACTCCAATTAGGCAAATGCTTAGCAAATTAAAATAGCTCAATGTAAAAATGTTTATCAAATATCTTGTAATGATATTCATTTATAAAGTAAAAAATAATATATTTCCTTCAAGTCTAACTAATTTAACATCATCAAATGTCGACCATCATTTACATAATACCAGAAATAAAGATGACTACCATTTAATGACCAAAAAGTATAACATATGTGCTACAAATCTGTATACCATCAAGCATTGATTGAATATAATAAATTACACACAGAGATAAAAGACCAGAAAACTTTGACAAAATTTAAAGTAAAATTGAGAAATCACTTGTTAAATGTACAATTATAGGTTGTCCAGCATTTACATCATACATCATATGGCCTGAATTTACTAGTTCTAAGTTGTTTACAATTATTCTGTTTATGTAGCCAAATGTGCTAAATAAATCTTTCTACTACTACTAGATAACACAATGGTTATGTTTGCTATCAAGTGCTGTGAGGAGTTTGTTTTAGCACAGAGTAATCGTTTTAGAACGGTATAAAAAAATGATACCTGCAGATTCGAGGTTTTAATTTTTGAGGTGTCGCCTTGTCAGGCACATACAACACATAATCATCCAGCTGATAATCGCGCCATCAAGCGTGAGGTGTATTCATTTCAGTCCATTTAGTCCATTCTCCCTGTGTTTCAGTCAATTGATTAACAAATAAAACCGTGCTAAAGCATACTCGGAATAGCTCTGCTCCCAACCATTGAGTGAGCTATAACATTGGTAAGAATGATAGAATTATGTAATTGATGGCTGAAAATGCTTAAGGTGGTATGTCCCTTTGTTAGATTTTTTTTCATCTAAATGTTTGCAGCAGTATTCTAAATCCTTTCCATCTGATAATTTCAAGGTGTGTATAGAGATGAGTAAAAAACAATGTTTTCATTTTTTCTTCAAGAAATAAATTTTTTTCCTCTATCGGAACTTGTTAACAAATATAAGTACATCTCTGAAATTGTGCGCGAATATTCCTCATTTGCAGAAGTGATTACTTTTGTTATGATTTTCCCTTTTATTTTCTTGTAGCCTCGTCTCGCAGCAAGTTGAGTTTTCAAGAAAAGCAAAGATTTTTCAAAGAGAAACAGTGATAGGAATAAAATTAATCACTTGTTTCATTCATCCTTGAAAGTAGAATATTCACATACAATTTCAGAGCTGTACTAATATTTGTTAGCAAGTTACGATCGAAGAAAAAATCCACAATAAAATGGACAAAAACGCATTTTATGACAAAACAAAATTAAAAACGATGAACTAATCAGATGAAAAGGGTTGCAAACAGGTAGTTGAAAAAAAAGTGAAAAATGGACGTGCGGCCTTGAACGCATCATTATTCTGTCCGGCTTTAATTTTTAACGTTTTTCTCTTTCACAGTGATGGGTAGTGGCGAAGTGAATCCGATCCTAACTAAAAGACCGCACCTTCCCACCAAAGCCAAGAATCACTTGAAACGCTGGTTGTTCAAGCACACAGACGTAAGTTTTACCGAGGTATTATTTCGAACTGCAGAGTGGAAGTTTTGTCATAACTCCTAAAAAAAAAAAAAAAGCGGAACTGTGTTTGATAGGTGCGTGTTTTTATTCCAGCATCCGTATCCCACTGACCATCAGAAACAAACGTTGATGCAGGAGACGAATCTCTCGTTGTTGCAAGTAGAAAATTGGTTTATAAACGCGAGGAGGAGGATATTGCAAGATCTTACCAAGCTGAAGAGTCATGGGGTTCGAGAAGGTAGGAATGCTTCTATAATAGTACGGGGGGTCTGAACATACTCGCGAATCCTTACACATCATGTCGACATATCAGTTATTGCTATTATAGAGGTCTTTTCAAATACAATTTGTAAACATACAGTTCCGTTTACCTACGGAACGCGACGCGTTGTTTTTATTGTAATTTTGATCACTTATAGAAGAGCTGCACGAGCACAACCTCGGCTTCCAAAGCGACCTGGACTTGGAGCTGCTGATGTCCGCCGGCGAGACGTCCCCGGTCAATAAGCGACCCCAGAATAATCCCCCGCCTCCGCTGGTCCCTATAAAAAGGGCTCGACGAGGCAGGTACTTCCGACGCCGATGGGCCCCTATTAAACCCCACCCGGCGCTCGAATACGAGCTGGAAGGTGGAGCTAACATCAACGGCACCGCGGAAGCGGAGCGCGGGGAAAAGCCCGGTGCTGACGTCAAGGTGAGATTTATTTGGAACGTTTGTTTTAACACGCTTTTAATAGGTCAAAATAAAATGCCTTCGTCTGCCCGACCAAGAAAAGAAGACGGCCAACCATCGTCAGCTATTTCGTGCTTCTTAGTTACTCATCAGCATGGTATAGGTTGGTCACTTGCGGTTTATCTTTTTCTTTTAATAGCTTGAAATGTTTTATGTATGTAAGGGAATCTTTCAACCATACGTCTGATTAACTTCAAAATTTGCGGAGGCGTCAAGGGCCAAAAAGGGGAAAAAATGAAATTTGGAAAAAAATTGTATTTTAAAAATTTTAGCATAATTGAAAAGTTATATAATAATTTAAGATTTGTAAATTTTTAATGGAATTTCGGAAATTCGTAATTCAAAAAAAATTGTAATAAAACAAACCAGAAATCGAAGCACTTGATTATAAATCCTTTTGTTGTCGTTTTGAGACTAGAAATTCAGAAAATGAATTATAGTTCAAAAAACTAAAAAACGGCTAAATATCAAATCGAACTAAAAAGTAAAAGATGATTTTTAAGTATACTACAGTTTGTGTTACTGCAATATAAAGGCCAATAATCAAATATGACTCCAATTAAAATTTTGTAAATAGGAACTAAAAAATTATTTCTAACATTTAATATCAAGCATTTTTGCTATAATTGATTTTTTTTTTAGTTCTTATATTGATCACTTTGGAAATTAATTAGCCATATTTGGTTCTTTGACTGTTTGTTGCACTAATACAAACTGATCAACTTGAAAATTTGCAGAGGGGCAAGGGCCAATGACAACACAATAATCTTGTAAAAAAAATCGAATTTGAGATTTTTTTCAATTGAATTTTGAAAAAATTGGATTTGGAAAATTCGGAAAATAATTTGAAATTTGGAAATTGAAATTTCGGAAATTTTGTAATTCAATAAAAATTGGAATAAAATAAACCAGAAATCGAAGCTCTTGATTATAAATTCTTTTGTTGTCGTTTTGAGACTAGAAATTTCGAAAATGAAAAAACTAAAAAACTAGGCTAAATATCAAATCGAACCAAAAAGTAAAAGATAATTTTTAATTATACGAGGGTTTGTGTTACTGCAATATCAAGACCAATAATCAAATGTGACTCCAATTCCAATTTTGTAAATAGGAACCAAAAAATTATTTTTAACATTTAATATCAAGCATTTTGAATATAATTGATTTTTTTTGCTAATTTTTTAATTTTTATATTGATCTCATTGCGGTTTATCTTTTTCTTTCAATAGCTTGATATGTTTTATGTATGTAAGGGAATCTTTCAACAATATGTCTGATTAACTTCAAAATTTGCGGAGGCGTCAAGGGCCAAAAAGGGAAAAAAATGAAATTTGGAAAAAATTGTATTTTAAAAATTTTTAGCATAATTGAAAAGTTATATAATAATTTAAGATTTGTAAATTTTTAATGGAATTTCGGAAATTCTTAATTCAAAAAAAATTGTAATAAAACAAACCGAAGCACTTGATTATAAATCCTTTTGTTGTCGTTTTGAGACTAGAAATTCAGAAAATGAATTATAGTTCAAAAAACTAAAAAACTAGGCTAAATATCAAATCGAACTAAAAAGTAAAAGATAATTTTTAAGTATACTAGAGTTTGTGTTACTGCAATATAAAGGCCAATAATCAAATATGACTCCAATTCCAATTTTGTAAATAGGAACTAAAAAATTATTTCTAACATTTAATATCAAGCATTTTTGCTATAATTGATTTTTTTTTCAATTTTTATATTGATCACTTTATAAATTAATTAGCCATATTTGGTTCTTTGACTGTTTATTATATATACTGATCAACTTGAAAATTTGCAGAGGGGCCAAGGGCCAATGACAACACAATAATCTTGTAAAAAAACTCGAATTTGAGATTTTTTCTAATTGAATTTTGAAAAAAATGGATTTGGAAAATTCGGAAAATAATTTGAAATTTGGAAATTGGAATTTCGGAAATTTCGTAATTCAATAATTCAATAAAAATTGGAATAAAATAAACCACAAATCGAAGCTCTTGATTATAAATTCTTTTGTTGTCCTTTTGAGACTAGAAATTCCGAAAATGAAAAAACTAAAAAACTAGGCTAAATATCAAATCGAACCAAAAAGTAAAAGATAATTTTTAAGTATACGAGGGTTTGTGTTACTGCAATATCAAGGCCAATAATCAAATGTGACTCCAATTCCAATTTTGTAAATAGGAACTAAAAAATTATTTCTTAACATTTCATATCAAGCATTTTGAATATAATCGATTTTTTTTTTGTTAATTTTTTAATTTTTAAATTGATCTCATTGCGGTTTATCTTTTTCTTTTAATAGCTTGAAATGTTTTATGTATGTAAGGGAATCTTTCAACCATATGTCTGATTAACTTCAAAATTTGCGGAGGCGTCAAGGGCCAAAAAGGGAAAAAAATGAAATTTGGAAAAAATTGTATTTTAAAAATTTTAGCATAATTGAAAAGTTATATAATAATTTAAGATTTGTAAATTTTTAATGGAATTTCGGAAATTCTTAATTCAAAAAAAATTGTAATAAAACAAACCGAAGCACTTGATTATAAATCCTTTTGTTGTCGTTTTGAGACTAGAAATTCAGAAAATGAATTATAGTTCAAAAAACTAAAAAACTAGGCTAAATATCAAATCGAACTAAAAAGTAAAAGATAATTTTTAAGTATACTAGAGTTTGTGTTACTGCAATATAAAGGCCAATAATCAAATATGACTCCAATTCCAATTTTGTAAATAGGAACTAAAAAATTATTTCTAACATTTAATATCAAGCATTTTTGCTATAATTGATTTTTTTTTTAATTTTTATATTGATCACTTTCCAAATTTGGTTCTTTGCACTAATACAAACTGATCAACTTGAGAATTTGCAGAGGGGCCAAGGGCCGATGACAACACAATAATCTTGTAAAACAACTCGAATTTGAGATTTTTTTTAATTGAATTTTGAAAAAATTGGATTTGGAAAATTCGGAAAATAATTTGAAATTTGGAAATTGGAATTTCGGAAATTTCGTAATTCAATAAAAATTGGAATAAAATAAACCAGAAATCGAAGCTCTTGATTATAAATTCTTTTGTTGTCGTTTTGAGACTAGAAATTCCGAAAATGAAAAAACTAAAAAACTAGGCTAAATATCAAATCGAACCAAAAAGTAAAAGATAATTTTTAATTATACGAGGGTTTGTGTTACTGCAATATCAAGGCCAATAATCAAATGTGACTCCAATTCCAATTTTGTAAATAGGAACTAAATAATTATTTCTAACATTTAATATCAAGCATTTTTGCTATAATTGAATTTTTTTTTTAATTTTTATATTGATCACTTTGGAAATAAATTAGCCATATTTGGTTCTTTGACTGTTCATTGCACTAATACAAACTGATCAACTTGAAAATTTGCAGAGGGGCCAAGGGCCAATGACAACACTATAATCTTGTAAAAAAACTCGAATTTGAGATTTTTTTAATTGAATTTTGAAAAAATTGGATTTGTAAAATTCGGAAAATAATTTGGAAATTGGAATTTCGGAAATTTCGTAATTCAATAAAAATTGGAATAAAATAAACCAGAAATCGAAGCTCTTGATTATAAATTATTTTGTTGTCGTTTTGAGACTAGAAATTCCGAAAATGAAAAAACTAAAAAACTAGGCTACATATCAAATCGAACCAAAAAGTAAAAGATAATTTTTAAGTATACGAGGGTTTGTGTTACTGCAATATCAAGGCCAATAATCAAATGTGACTCCAATTCCAATTTTGTAAATAGGAACTAAAAAATTATTTCTAACATTTCATATCAAGCATTTTGAATATAATTGAATTTTTTTGTTAATTTTTTAATTTTTATATTGATCTCATTCCAACTAACACAAACTGATCAACTTGAAAATTTGCAGAGGGGCAAGGGCCGATGACAACACAATAATCTTGGAAAAAAACTCGAATTTGAGATTTTTTTTTTAATTGAATTTTGAAATTTTGAAAAAATTGGATTTGGAAAATTCGGAAAATAATTTGAAATTTGGAAGGAATATCAGAAATTTCGTAAATCAATGAAAATTGCAATAAAACATCAGAAGCTATAAGTACTTTTGTTGCAGTTTTGAGATTGAAAATTCAGAAAATAAATTATAGTTAAAAAAATAAAAAATACGCTAAATACCAAGTCGAACTAAGAAGTAGAAGATAATGTTCAATTATAAGAGAATTTGTATTACTGCAATATAAGGCCAATAATCAAGTAAGCCTTTTTCATTTGGACTAAGATCACTAAAAAAGTTAAGATATTCAAAAAAATTAATTTATACTGAAAAAATGTTAAACTATATTTTTATAACTCCAATTTTGTAAATAGTAATTCCAACATTTAATATAAAGCTCCCCTACGCTTTTTTATTATAATTTTTTTTTTGTTAATTTCTTAAATTTTATATTGATCTCATTCCAGATTGATGGTTGGACTTTTTATTGCAGTAACACAAACTCTCCTATACTTGAAAATTATTTTCTACTTTTTAGTTCGATTTGGTATTGAAGTGAGTTTTTTTTTATTTTTTTAAACTTTAATTTATTACAAGCCTTTATTTAGTTTGGCATGTCTTTGGTATGTATGTGTGGGACAAATCTTGGATCTGAATTTTGAACTAGGTAACCTTGACCATTTTATGTGGAATTTTGTATGGTATATCTGAAGTCACTTGAAATAGCATAAAAACCTTTGGTCGGCGCGTCCTTTGTAATTTCATGACGTATCATAGGCGTGCGGTGATTTATTTAGAACGATAATAATAATGTTTTTATATCACAATAAATGGATTTTACTATCTTCTTATTTTTTTGATTTGGGATAAAAAATACTGATATTGGGAGTTTAATTTATGTTGACTGAAAGTTAAGAAATGGAAAAATTACAGAATTCCAACGTTTGACATAGGCAAATATTTACATAGCAGGTAGGTATATAAAAAGGTATATAAAGACTTACATTATAGGTATTTATACAGGGTGACTTCGAAGTTGAGTCATTTATTTTAACAATGAGTAGATCTGATCAAAAGAAATGTTTTTTTCCTTTACCATTTTTCTGGTAAAATTAAAGTAACAAAGTTATAGCCCTTTGGAAGTTTGAGTACCGCCCTGTCTCAATAATAATATCATGTACTCGTGTTTGGCAACAACGGATATAATCCGCCTTACCGGTTCATCGCATCGGAAACAAAAAAGCGAAAGAATTTGGAACGACGTTTTTGCAATTAAGTGTTTTATTCAGTTCAGTTATACATACAGTCAGTATCTGTCGGTTAGCGTGTGAATAGTTTCTGTTGCGTGGCTCAAACGAAATAAAAAATGGCACATGTTTATGCGGATCGGTTTCCCAATCGAGTGCAACCAACCCCTCGTGCCTTTGTTAATGTAGTACAACGGGCTCGTGAATCAGGTGACTTAAGACCTCACAGGGGACCTCACGATCAAATACAGGTCCGCACTGAAATACTTGTCGGGAGGATACTTTATAAAACAAGGTAAAATTTTTTTTTATTTTTACACACATATTCTGGTTTATCTTCCTTCTACAATCATTATCTGAAAATTAATGACTCAACTTCAAAGTCACCCTGTATATCATCCTCGCCTTCGGAGCTGTCGCTAGAGTCATCTTGTAGAGGAATTACAACGGGATTTACAGGAGGCAAAACACAATATTCATTTTCTTTTTCAATAATATGCCTAGAACACTGCTTCCATAGGTCTGTGACAGCAATATGAGATACTGCATCTCTTATTGTGGCCAATAGCGATTCACTTAATTGAGGGGTCTGATTATGTTTTCTTACTTTTTTTTTAAAGCAGCCCAGACCAACTCAATCGGGTTAAAAATGCAGTAATAGGGAGGTAGACGTAATACTTCATGGCCATTTTGCTGAAGCAGATTGTCAACAACATACTCTTTTTCAAATTTTTGTCTTTTAATAAGATCCAAGAATATGGCTTTGGTTGATTTTTGTGGTATTTCCATTCCCTTATCCTTCATAAAATCAATAATGTCTTGTTTTTTTGTGCCTGTATTCGGAATTTTGTTTTTCTGTCGGGAAGGGTATGGCGCATTGTCCATAATAATCACTGAATTTGGGGAAATGTTTGGTATTAACTACTTCTCTATCCACTTTTCAAATAAGTCGGAGGTCATGTCCTCATGATAGTCGGCACATGATTCTTTGATATTTTTGGCAGATAACAAGGCATTAGGTATAAATCCATTTTCACTGCCAGCATGGAGAATAATGATTCGTTTTCCACGGTTGCATGGTGCATTTAAAATGCACTTGTTGCTGTCGTCAACCCAGCCGTACTGCACAACATCATGGGTATCATACCACGTTTCATCCAGGTAAATCAGATTTCTTTTCTGCTCTCTATAGATTTTAACTTTGTGTAAAAATTCTTGGCGCAATTCAACGATTCGAGACGACTCCATAATCACCATTCTTTTATCTAATTTTTTGTATTGAAAACCACACAGTTTTACAATACAGTGCAGTGAGTCTAAGCATTTGTAATTATAAAAATCTTCAGGATAATCTTTTAATTTATCCCGTATCATTTCCAACGTGGGCACCAAATTTTCTTTATAAAATCCGTATATTATACGACGAATATCTTCCTGAAAACCCACGTCTATTATTTTTAATTTTTGCCCTATGCGCTTTCTGTGGAAGGAATGGTTGACTACATCTCCCCTTTTTATAACCCGATAAATGGTAGACCGACTGATTTTTGTCAGGATACAAATTCTGTTTAAAATTTGATTTTGCGAGGAATCTGGATTTTCGTTTTTCAAACAATCATACATATTTAGGATTACTCTTTGGGTCTGTTCTTCTAAATCTTTATGAAAGAATTCTGCCTGCACAGGTTCATCAACCATCTCCTCGTGGCTTGGAGCATTTTCCCAAGGTCTCCAAAGAGCCATATTTAGGACACACAATAACAATCAACACAACAATTAAATCAACAAGTAAACTGAGTATTCAAAAGTCAAAAACACACAAACTAATAAAATCTCTAAAAAAACACGGACAGACTAAAGAAAACACGTTTATTCACCGCTACACGGCACTGGCTAAACTGTTTCAATTTTCAGTAGCCACCTGCACTTTTTCGGAGCTCTGAAATACACGCTTTCTCATTGGCTATGTCCACGCATAGGCGTGCTTTACTCCACGTGGACCGGTGAAACTGCCTTTGATCTTATACGGGGAATATTTGCTGCGAAATTTGGCGATTTTTGCAGCAACAGAGCGTGTTAAATATAGATATATAAAACGCACCCGGTATTTCACAGTGTTTCAAGTGACTTCAGATAAAGTATTCACACGTTTACTTTTGCAATCCGGATAATATTAGAAAAAAGCTTATGTTTATTTCCGTTTAGGTTGAACCTGACGTACGACAAGATCCTTTGGAGATCGTCAGCGCACTTTCCGTAAAATCTGAACCTAAAGACAACGAGGAGGAGGAAGAAGAAGAACAAGAAGATGAAGAGGATGAGGTTGATGAAGAAGTTACAGTGAAACATGAGCGATTGGCCAACGAAGAAGAAATGGACGATGATAGCAAAGACAACCAAGAAAACGGAAGCACAGACGACGACGGAACTGATGGCGAACGGTAATCAATATGGAACAATCAAATTCTCAAATTTTCGTGAGACATCATTAGCGCAAAAAATACGGTGTTCAGTGGCGTATATTTCTCTGAAATTTATTTATAGTGTCTTAAGCGTCATTATGCTCTCTTCTTTCAGCTATATTTATCTCTTCGTCTATCTTTTTTTTTTGGTACTCATTACTCGAATTTGTTTTCCTTTTTCAACGATAAAACTTGTACTTGCATAATTGGGTGTTTTCTAAAAAAATCGTCGGAATATCAATATGAAAGAGATGGCTAAAAATGTGAACCTACCTTTGCCATGGAGGTTACGCCAGATTTGATGAAAGTTACCTTTTTTTCACGCATCGATAGTATGAAATGGAACATATACTGGATAAACATTAATTCTCATTTGATGATTCTTCTAGCGTGCAATGCATAAAATTAAATTACTTCTTTTTGGGTGTATGAAATTGAAGTTTCAATTTTTTTAACACTGGAATATTTATTCACATCAATTAGAAAGAGAAATTAGAACTCACTGCGTCATCTTTGAAAAAGTTTGATGCAGCTATCAGAAATGCAATTTTGTCGAAATGGAAAATACCCCACTATGTAAATACAGCTCTGAGTTGGCACTAAATTCTGGGTTTAAGCTAGTTTTAAACAGTTATTCGGAAAACCAGAGCCTTTATATGTAGTTATAGACTGTGCTAAATTCGCTGGTTTATAAATTCCTCCCTTTCTCTCGATTTATTTTTCTCATCTCATTTTTCGAGTTCTGGGATGAATATTGTTCATAATTTGTTATTCATAACTTTCGATATTATTTCAATACAAGGTGCTCGAAAAATTGACGGAGATATTTATAGGGTGGTTACTTGTTAAAAAATCTGAAAAAAATTTCTATAAATATGAAAAAAATTAATATCTTAATATTTACTTGGACTGGCGCGCAAATGTCAAATCTCTATGCGAACATTTTTTTTTGTTTTCTGGGGCACTTGTGATTTTTTTAGCAAAGATTCAAAAAACAATTTTGTCCAGTGATATGTAGTACTAGTAGTAGAAAGATTTATTTAGCACATTTGGCTACATAAACAGAATAATTATAAACAACTTAGAACTAGTAAATTCAAGCCATATCGTGTATGATGTAAATGCTGGGCAACCTATAGTTGTAGATTTAACAAGTGATTTCTCAATTTTACTTTAAATTTTGTCATAGTTTTCTGGTCTTTTATCTCTGAGTATAATTTACTATATTCAATCAACCCTTGATAGAATACAGATTTGTAGCATATGTTACTTTTTGGTCATTAAATGGAAGTCATCTTTATTTCTGGTATTACGTAAATGATGGTCGACATTTGATGATGTTAAATTAGTTAGACTTGATGGAAATATATTATTTTTTACTTTATAAATGAATATCATTCGAGATATTTGATGAAATTTTTTACATTGAGCCATTTTAATTTGCTAAGCATTTGCCTAATTGGAGTATATTTATCTTTATTTAGTATTATTCTCATGCACTTATTTTGTAAAATTTGCAGCCTTTCAAAAGTGGAATTATTTGCTAAATATAGAATAGTCGAACAGTACAAGAAATTTGGAAGAATGATGGTATTATAGATAATTTTTCTGCTATATGAACTCAGACATCCAGAAACTCTCGATAAATATCCCACTTTACTACTAATCTTATTTATAACTTTTTCATAATGAATATCAAAAATTAATCGAGAGTCAACAAAAACCCCCAGCTAATTAAAATTTTCTACGAATTCAATATCTTCACCATCAATATTCAGTTGAACATTTGTACATTGTTTTTTTCCGATTAACAAGGCTTTCGTTTTACTTGCATTTAATTTTACTCTGTTGGATACTAACCATTTTGAGACAAGTTTCAAGTCTTCATTTATATAAGAAATACCAGACTGAATATTTTGAGTACTTATATAAATCATAGTGTCATCGGCGAAAATCTGAATTTTGCATTTTTTGACTATGGCAGGTAAATCATTTATGTATAAAATATACGAAAAAAATACAAGAGAAAAAGAAGTTGTATTTTTAGATGCTCAATCAGACAACTAATATAAATGTTACAAAAAAGGCAGTGGCGTACATTTTTTGCCAATAATATTGCCAAATTTCAACCGAATCAAGTAAATATTTTTTTGATATTTAATAAAATTTCGACCCCGTATATTAAAAACCCTGCATTTCCGTACCCATGTTTATATGAACGTTTTTTTTCATATTTTTAACAAGAAATCACCCTCTAAAATATCTCCGTCTAGTTTTCGAACACCCTGTATATGAAGATGAACAATTTAAAAAGTATTATAGGCAATACTAGATGATTTAAATATATGCAAATTGAAAACGTTCATCTAAGTAACTTGTTTTTAGGCGTCCAATTTTTTAAAAGTATCGTACTTTGACTGAATATACGAAAATTATATATAAACATATATTCTAAACAGTAGCGGATCTAGGGGGGCACTCATAATTTTGTCTACTCAAGGCGTCGTCTTAGATCCGTCCTCTGGTTCTACATTGTGTTTCCTATGATACATGATGTGATATTTATGTGGCTATCGGAAACTTATTTGGCATAGTTGTTACGTAAAAAATCTATAATGTCAACTTGTGTACTAGACAGCCGCTGGTTCAAAGGAAACCTACATAATGCCAAAAAAGTGCATGTAATAAAAAATCGATATAATGTCACTTTTTAAGTGATATGGCCGATCTATTTACTTTAGTTGGTCATGGATGAAAATATATAGATTTATCGATTTGATAGTGAATAGTTACTATACTTTTATTCGTTGTCAGAGATCATGCTGATGAGTAGCCAGAGAGAACGAAACAGCTATCTATGATAGACTAACTTTGATCTTTTCAGCTGAAAGCAGCATGTTTATAGACGATTTATCAATCAATTTACGGAACATATGTATCTTAGGAGACATACATTTTTTACATGTTATTTAGGAACACTTTGTATACTAAGTCCGGGTATTTGAATCTGTTTTATTTATATCAATCGGGAATCTAGTGAATCTAGTAGTCTATCCGTACGTAAAAGAATGTGTTCTTAATATATAGATATGTCCAAATAAAAAAAGTGATTTTGCATATAATGTCAAGTTGCAGTGTAACTAAAAAAGGCGATCAAAGTTTTATGTGAAATGATAGCTTAGGTCCGCGTCGCTCGGAATTTGGTGCGAAAAATTTGTACGGCAACTGGCGACTCTGCAAAGGTAAGTGAGGTTATATACAGGCGATCTTTTATGTCGGTATGTAAACATGAAACAACTGATTTCGGGTATTTTTATTAAATATGGTCCTTTACAATTTATTGGGACTAGTCGTCTATCAAGTGGCCACCTTTATGCCCGTTTTGCTGCGTTTTCCATTACTTTTTCTAGCATCTCTGGTGGTACGAATATTTGCCTTGAGTCTGGGGCTTGCTGGCGCACACTTGAATTTTCAAATAACCCCACAAGAAGTCCGGTGGGGTCAAATCTGGAGACCTGGGTGGCCAGGTCAATGTCACCTCTTTTGACATCGGACGTCCAGGGAATTTTCGTTGCAGAAACTGGATTATTTCATTTGCAGTGTGGCATGGCGCACCGTATTGTTGAAACCTGTAACCATCAAGACCTTTTTCACGCATTTGTGGGCAGACATAATGAGCCAACATCCACCGATATCGAATTCCGTCGAATGTTTCGTTTTCGTTGAAGAAAAATGGCCCAATGATGGTTTTGGCGCAAACGCCGACTCAAACAGTCACTTTCCGGTCATGCAACGGCATTTCGTGGATCTCATGTGGATTTTACGTCCCCCAAACGCGGCAGTTTAGCTTATTAATGCCGCGAGAAGTGCGTGAAATGGGCCTCGTCGGTCATCACAATTTGCTTCCAAAAATCAGGTTCAGCGAGCGACTGTTTGGGCGTATTCCAAGCGACGTGGACGATCAGTTGGCAATATTTTTTGTGTTAACTGCACCTTATAAGGAAAAAATGCAAATCATCCTTCAAAATGCGCCGCAACGTGGTTCCAGTGATGCCAAATGCTGAGCGCGGTGACGATACGACGCTTTTGGGTTCTCGGCAACGCTGTCCCTGACCGCTTGGTCGTCGATTGAACGGTATGTTGACGATCTCTCACGGTCCCGTACTCAAGAAAATTCGAAACCAAACGACGGATAGTGTTGTCAGACGATATTTTCGACGATATGCACGATTTTCAATGTACATCGTGACTATTTCGGCGCGTTGTTCCGGTGTAAAGCGATTCATGACTGAAAATTGTAGTAAATGACGTTTCAGAAACACGTATAACCAAATCACTCGGTTGGTAAATATTAAAGTCATTAGATGTTTCAATAACGACATAAAAGATGGCGCACCCGGTAGATTAACAACTGATGATCTATGCTTCTTCCTTAACATGACTATATAAGTTTGGGCAACTGAGCTTGTCAGATGTAAACATTTTTTCCAGTAGCCTTACAAATTTTTCATGCAAAATTTCAAATCATATTAGACAAATCGTACTAAACGCCCAATTCTTTAGTTTACGGATAGTGTTGTCAATTCCACTATAAGGCGGAGTGAAAAAACTTCAAGTATCGTATATATATTGACCTATTAGAATTGCCATCAGTGTCTAAGGGAAAGTTTGGGCTTTATAGTTTGAAACATTTCAAATGTACTACGTAATCAAACAGGGGTATAACTCCATAGCAACACACAACCATATTAGTTTGAGTCTATTGACAGCTGCTGTCACCATATATGGGGTTGTCCAAAACGGAAACAGGAAAGCAAAAGCATATTAAAACAAGAAAGATTGATATTCAAATCAAGTTGGGTACTTTATTTTGAAGGTTCATTTATACCATTTATGTATGAAAAATAATATCGCTCAAATGTTCACCACGACTGGATTTACAGACGTCCACGCGATGGTCGAAATTTTCAATGACATTTTGCAACATGGTCGGTTCTATGGCATTTATCTCGGCAATGATGTTGTTTTTGAGTTCTTGGAGGGTGGCTGGTTTGTTGACGTAGACTTTGCTTTTCAAATATCCCCATAAAAAGAAGTCCAAGGGAGTCAAATCGCACGATCTTGGTGGCCATGCGCGAATTCACGCGATCATCGAAGGACTGCAATCGATGGATATTGACGTTGGTTGTGCGGCATGTTGCACCGTCTTGTTGGAAATAAACATCGTCCATATCCATTCCTTCAAGTTACGGCAAAAAATAGTCCTCTATCGACGCGTTGTTGATTGTTTCGGATCATCTCTCACACTCTCCTTCACAACAGCAATATTTTCCGGTGTGCGAACGCTCCTTGGCCGGCCAGAGCCTGGCAGATTTGCCACAGAACCTGTTGCCTCGAATTTACGCACCAGACGACCGATGGTTGTTTCGTTTGGGCGGTTGTTCACGAAGCGCGCGAAACGTGTTTTTTTATTTTTGCACCATTTTTGTAGTGCTCTTGAATAACTTTAATGCGGTCTTCAATCGAATACGACTCCATAGCGATCAACGGTAAACATTCAACTAACAAAATGACATGTCGTTGACAGAAAACAAAGATGGCGTCTATGTCAAATTGACGTTTACTTTCCTGCGTCCCTATTGGACAACCCATTATTTTTTCGACAACGTTTATCGGATTGTTTTACCCGCAAAATGTTAAGCTGAATTGGTAGGTCTCATTACCATGTACAAAAGGTACTATAATAGTTTTGCAATACAGCTTTCTTTATTGATTTCGTGCAAAGTAATTTCCATCACATTCAATCCGCCAAAAGCAGTCCTTGAACCA